ATAAAAAAATAAATAAATTTAGAGGACAAAACAAGCCCACGACATAGCCCAAGTTTGCATCCTTCGTTTTAGTAATAATGGACTATATACCGGTTATCTGATCCATAATCGAATCACAGATTGAAGTAATGGGCCTGGGATGGCTGCCAAAAAGTAAAAACACGGTGAGAGTAATGGCTGCTATGAAAAAAAAAAAAAAAAAACACTAAGAAAATAAAGGAGACACCTTATTTTATTTGAGTTATTTCTCTTTTTGTGAGAATCTCGTTTTTCTTTTTTTTACTATAGAAATATAGCTACTAGGTATTTAAGTGATTTAAACTCTTGACCTTTATTTAAAATTAAATCATAATATTATATAATTGATTATTTTTATTTGAGATTTATCAATTATATTATATACATTTAATCATTTAATGATACATTATAATTATAAATTTAAAGTTTTATGTGACGTCATAGCAATAATATTACTATTTTAAATTAATAAACATCAATGGAGATAAGCTCTTATTGGTATTTTGTGATATCATAATGTTGATGTTTTATGAACTTGTAGTTACATGTCATAATACCATGCAACTCGAAAATTGAATATTACATTATCGTCCTTAGCAAAGACATGTGAAGACCACAACTTGGTTATGGATAGCAAAGTCCATACAACCTTGAATCATCTAATAGAAGTTTGCTTTATATGTTTATATACAATAATACTCCAGAAATTTTGAATTTGTAACCCTTTATTTATTTATTTTGGCAATCAATTCCAGCCTTTTTAAAGTTGAAATACACTTTCCAAAAATTTGTGTTTGGTTCAGATCCAAATTTTTACATGAAACAACAATTACCTTTTGATTGTAGCAGCTAAATCACATTTGGTGAACCTAGAAAGAGTTTTGCCAGTCTCCATCAAAAACTCAATCCTCTTCAGCTCAAGATCAACTCAACCAATCTCACACATTCCTTTGCTTAACATAGGAAATGAACCGAGCAAAGCCTTGCTTTCATGATCTACTGCAATAATAGAAACCCTTTAGCAACAGTATTACCTAATGAAGATTTCTGTTATCCTCTTGAAATTGCCTCTCCTTTAATCCTAATCACCACTTCACTTATGGGATGAGCAACCCGTGAGCAGTAACAGCAGAACAAAGCATCTATACCGCCAATAAGGGAGAAACTTGAATCATATACTTCAATTACATAGCAAAAGCACAACAGAGAATGCACAAACCCAAAAAATTTACCTCTCCTAAAATGCATTTTTTTTATATTATATTATGAGACTCTAAATGGGGAGCGCATGAAGAGCATCAGATAGAAAAGAAATCAGTAGAACAAATTGTTCACTAGACCTCCCAAACCATTCCAATCAGAACTATGGTATACCATGCTCTGATCAGAACTTCTCTATTATCTCTATTTTGATTGTGTACTAAAAAAAGAAATCCCTATGCTTTATTATCACTTGAAACAGGTCAGAAACACCTATGGCACTTCATGATCAAATAAAATCGAACAAAAGACAGAGTAATTCAACTACCAGATAAATTAAAATATGAAACAGCAGCCCTCACCATTTTTTTTTTTCAGACATTTCAATCATGACAGCGCAGATAAGAATGTTTCTTTTGAGTCAAGGATGCAGCTAATGAACGTCCAAAAATGGAAGAGAAGCCTCATCACATTTTTCTCAAGACCAAATGCTCGAAGTTATGGCAACTTTAACAGACAATTCATCATTTAAATACTGATTCACGGAGTCTACTTACACTAAAACAGAAAACATATGGAATTGACATAACAGATGCTAAAGCTGCAATATTTATAAAATACACAAGGGATTTACTAATATTAAGTGGAACATGTAACCAAACAAGACTTAGAAAAAAGACCCACATTCAAATTTCAAAGATGCTAGATTTACTACATTTTCAGCCTTTGATATTGTTCTAAATCTCTAGATCATTCTAAATTTTCACTTCTTAAGGTGCCCCATCAAATGCAGCATCATTGCCAGGAGAAACAAGACTTTCACAGCAAACATGGTAATTGTGCATCAGAACCCCAAGAATCCCAGAACCTATCCAACAAGACTTAGGGATCACAGGAAATGCCATGACCGCCCTTTGTCTTGTTTTGTCTTCAAGGTTATACCAAAAAATCTTATTTCCTTTGCTAAGAAGAATTTTATCCCCCTCTTTTGAATATACCAAGAGCCAATCCACATACTCCAAAGTGAACTCTTTCCTCCAACTACCACTTGCAACTTCTCCACTCTTATCACTCACAAACAAGTAATATTCAGTAGTGTTACGCTCATCATGCATTAGAGAAGTATGAAGGTGACCTCCAGAAACTACTAAGACATCATAATAATCATAACAGCTATATTTCGAGTTCCAACCCAAAAATGGGGGGAGGTCAAAGAACACCTCATTTGTGAGATCAAAACCAACAAACTTATAATCACATTCCCAGTAGAGAGCACCCTGTGCAAAACACCCCACGAATGCTGTAAATTTTAGTTTCCACATTTTGACTCCTTCTCCAAGAATTTGATTTTAAGCTAAAAACCCAAGTTTGGTAAACATTGGAGTCATAAAACTCTGAAATCATCACAACTTTGTAGTCATCAAGAGCAGAATCATACCCTAAACCAAAATTCACGAATTTTCGGAACCCAGAAAGGGTTTGGATGGGACAAAGCGGTAATCTCTTATACCGCCGAGTGAATGGATTCCATAAGATGAGATTGTTATGACTAAAACTCAAGAGAATCAAACCAAAGTAAGAAGCACATAGCATGGCGCCCCAATGCGGAGATTTTAATGGGTTGTTGAGTAGGAAGGCAGATATGAGGTCGTCATCAAAATCAGCACAGTAGAAATTCATGATGGATTTCTTGTCCCAGATGAGTAGCTTTTGACGGATTTTGGTTTGGATTGATCTGTTGAGAGGATTATTAACGAAATCGGTACTGTCAATTTCTGAGCAATGTGATGTTCAAAGGCATCTGAATCGGAGGAGAGACTTCACTGGAAGGCGAAGGTGAGTGTCGGTGACTAATTCCGGCAAGAATGTAGGCATTTTTACCGAATTTTTCTGGAAAGACGAACGCTTTGGCACAGCGCCTGCTCGCCGGCTCAAACC